TAAGTGTTAAGGAGGGAAATAAATTAAGAAATGATGCAAGGCAGAGTCAGCCCTATAGATGACGGCTCAGGAGGCTGGAGGGAGCCCTGTTCTCACTTGGAGATTTATTTTAAATGCAGAAAAATTAAACCCCTAATTTGTGTATGTCACTATTTCTCAGGTTTCTGTTACTGGCCACCTGAATGCCATCCCCCTAACTGAAAATGACCCTAAAAGAAGACTTGGGCATAGCTCAGTAAGTTTCTCAGATCTCATCCATATGAATAGGTTATCAGCCAAATTTCACAAATAGCAAGACAAGTAATACTAGATTCTCAATAAAGTAACTACACTCCTCTTCTATGCACACACACAAAACACTGATGCAAAAACACCATGATTTTTCACAGATCTTTTCTGAAGATTGAAGCTTGAAACAGTTTCAGTAGCGGTCCTGAAGTTATTGAACCTTAACAGTGCATTAAACTTCATGTATGTACTAATCTTCATTCGAACTAAAGGTAGGAGGAGAATATACTACAGAGAGAAAAGAGGTGAGGGGAGAGAAATGAGGGAGGGGGACCTGAGCTGGTCTGTAGCAAAGGTTACAAGCTCAGCTGCCTGCAGGGGCAAAGCAGGAAATGCAAATGACATAGCACACTGGGGGTGAGAAAAACAAGGCTACTGTTTTCTCTTTGTTTTCCCACTTTTGGGGGGGGGGAGGAAAAAATACTGCACAAGCTAAACGATAAATGTCAACTGACATTTTCCCTCAGTGTCAGGGAGGCCAAGGGACACTGTGTGGACTCTGATGACCTGAGAGAGACAGCCACCCCCCAGCTTCATCGACTGTTACCAGCAATGAATGTGTACCGCACAATGCCAGATAGTCTTAATTTTTAAAAGCTGGAAATCTGAATTTTTATGTGCAATCTTCCATTTGTAAATGTTGGGAGTGAATTCGATATTTTTGGTAAACATTCTATTAGCAGATTGTATGTTTCCACAGATACCCAGGCAGCAGGCCATCAGTTTGCACCCTCTAGTATGCTGAATGGAGAGGTAAGACACTGTTGCAAAGAAAAGTATAGGGAAAGCAAGGAGCTATCTGAAAGTAGGTAAGTTTAGGGGAGGAAGACATTTCCTCTACCCTCTCTGGGTTCATCTGGCCAGAGAACAAATTAAATTCACATGAAACAGAATAGCAGGAGAAAATCAAACAAAGCTTTATAACATGTATACATGGGAGAGGCTCAGGCAAGCTGAGCAACTTGCCAAAATGGCTGAAGCCCCCACCTTAAATATCATATCTAGCTAAAGACAAAGGAGGATTTTGGGGGTAGAGGGGGAGCCGATCATGGGAGATTACCACACAAGTACAGTAAACAAATGCAGATTTAAGTCCTTGCCTTTGGCATTGATTAAGAGTTTCTAGAGATAAGGTCATCCCTGCCCTGTTCTTCCTGATACAGAGAGGGAGATAACTTTACAGATGGAGATTTCCTTTACAATGTAAATGTCTCCTAACAAAGGGCAAGCTTTGTTAAATTCTACTTTTACTGAAAAGTAAATTCTACTTTTCAGTTGCTTTCCTATCTGCAAAGTAACCAGCCCCAAATAATCCTCATGCCAAAGAGACATATCTTGGGATGGCCAATTCCAGGCCCCCACATAAGGAAGATGGGGAAATGGAAAAGAAAAGACCAAAGACGGTGGGCTAGAAAGAGGAAAAAATAGAAAAAAAAAATGTTAAAGAATGTGAGTGAGAAGAGATTGGAAGAGAAAGAAGAAGAGAGGAAGAAGGCAAAGAAGATGGAGAACTCATGAAAAGGGAGGAGATTTGAAGAGATAGGGGCACCCAGGAAAGTCCCTAAAACATTTTTCATGTCTAACGCTTTGTTTTTAAGTTGTGCTTGCTTATAGGAACCAAGGCAGAATAATGCCAGATGGCCAAATGGCAGAACCGTCCAAACCAGAAAGGTCCAAGATGGCCATGGGGTGCCATGTGGAAAAGGTACCACATGAAAGAAGGGAAGATCTATGCATGCTCCAAGTGCCCCCGGCCCAAGCGAAGACGAGAAGGTGTTTTAGAGCTTGAGCTTGACCTCCTCTATTCATTGATCAAGGAATAAAGTTTCTACTCTGCTCTTCGGAACCCACTCTTGTTCTATTTGCACAAGCGGGTCCAGGTAAGAGGACCCACTTGCCAATTACCTGTCCCTTAGGGCTCCGTAACGGTAGGAGGTAGTAGGGCTGCTGTAGGAAGAAGGGATTTAGAGTCATTCAATAGAAACAGACAGGAATATGTCATCACTGTGGAGAGAACAGTGGCTCTACATGGTGAAGGAGAAGCCCACAAGTTTCTCAGCCTTTGGCCATCACTTTTTCTTTTCATAGTCAAATAACTCAGGCTCCCACTTTTCTACAAGTGCAGGAAGTCCAGGGCCCTGACCCACAATGTGCCGCTGTTTTCCTAGGCAATTTTACCTCTTCTCCCTTCTCTCACCACCTCCCTGTGGGCATCCAGCTTCTTCAGCCCCACTCTTCCGTTACAAGCTGACACTGAGCTAGGATTTAGCTCAGCTTCAGCGGAGGCTTGAACCATGGATAGTCAAGAAAGAATTACAGCCCAGAACAGGGGACAAGATAGAATTCCATGTCAGAGATGTCTGTTCTGTAGGGGAGGAAGACATTTCCTCTACCCTCTCTGGGTTCATCTGGCCAGAGAATGAATTAAGTTCACATGAGACAGAATGGCAGGAGAAAATCAAACAAAGCTTTATAACATGTATACATGGGAGAGGCTCAGGCAAGCTGAGTAACTCACCAAAATGGCTGAAGCCCCCACCTTAAATATCATATCTAGCTAAAGACAAAGGAGGGTGTTGGGGATGGAGGGGGAGTCGATCATGGGAGATTACCACACAAGCACAGTAAACAAATGAAGATTTAAGCCCTTGCCTTTGGCATTGGTTAAGAGTTTCTAGAGATAAGGTCATCCCTGCCCTGTTCTTCCTTGTACAGAGAGGGAGGCACCTTTACAGATGGAGATTTCCTTTACAATGTAAATGTCTCCTAACAAAGGGCAAGCAAGTTCCACTCCTCAGAGCCACCTTTTATTAAAAGTAACCAGCCCCAAATAATCCTCATGCCAAAGAGACATATCTTGGGGTGGCCAATGTCAGTCCCCCACAGTTCCTAAAATGATCTCTGCCCCAGGGTACCCCACTCTGGACATTTCTCACCTCTCTGCTCAAGGAAGACACCTTTTCTCTTCATTGTCCTGTGGAGGAGGAAAAATAATCTCTAGGTTCTACCCTTCTAGGTCCTTGGCTAGGACCACCCTGTGCTAAAAGACAGATTAGCAGGAAAAAAACAAACGGAAGTTTCATAACATGTATACCTTCTGCATACAAGTGAGATATGCGGGAAAACTGAGTAACTCCCCGAAATGGCCCAAGCCACCATCTTAACTAACACCTCCAGCTAAAGACAAAGGAAAATTTTGGGGGTGGGGAGTCAGTTTTGGGAGATTACCAGGAAAAGCACAGTAAACCAGGGTAAAGTTATTATGCAGATTTAAGTTGTTGCCTCCTCCATTGATAAGAGTTTTTAGAAATACAGAGTCATCCTTCTCTTCCTGGTATAGTGAGGAAGACACCCTTACAAACAGAGATTTCCTGTGTAAATGTAAATGTCTCATACAAAAGGGCAACTTGTACTCAGTTTTCAGAGCTTCTCCTGTTTGCCATTTCTTGAAAATTGTCAACCTAAAATAATCCTTACACCAAAGAGGCATATTTCGGGGTGGCAAATTCTAATCCCCTTCAGTGCTCAGCAATGGAACACCTCTTTGATCAGTCTCTCAGTTCAGACTCTGTCTTAATTTCGTCTAATCAAAGGATACAGTGAAGAGTTTTCTCCCACATGACAAGAGATTTTCACATTTTGAGGTATATAGGGTGACTATTTGGGTTCAAAACCGATTCAGCTTGAACTAAAGAGGCCTGACTTATGGCCTCTCCAACACACTGTACATCTGCTTTAACCATTAAAGTAAAGAATGCACTCTCAAGATAAGAACGCATACTTCCCCTCCTACACCCTGTTGGTAACGCTCTATTGGTAAGAACCTTATTAGTCCCTTTCCTGACCACAGGGTCATGTTGACCTGCTAATTTGCAACTGAATACCTCTTTGAAACTTTGATGAAAATGTATCCTGGGTGTGTTTAATGCATGTTCTTTGATCTAAAAAGATATGAAGACTGCACTGAAAACCATTCTTCTCCAGAATGCTTTCTTCCTTTGTGGAAAAGGCCTTCCTGGATTATAATCATCACTCTGGTTCAAGTAAAACTCACTTTATCTCTCTTATCTACAGAATGATTAGTGGTTATTTTATGTCAACACCCCCAAATCTGCCTTTCTTCCCCCTGTGCCTCCTCTACTCCTGTCCCTTCAGCTCCAACGCACACTCCTTTTCCCCTTTCTTTTTCATCTACTCAATCGTCCAGCAGATATGTAATGTGTCCACCACATTCCAAGCACTGTTTGGCAACTGAATAAAAGATAAGTGAGACAGGGTCTCCCTAGCCACGGAGACTTACAGCCCAGCATGATGACTGCAGAGTCTAGGGCTAACCACGCTGCCCACGTCTGAGCTCAGTGGATCTGGGCAGTGAAGGGGGTGAGCTTAGTCTGCAGGTGGAAAAGTGAGCAGAACTACAAGCCCTGTGAACCATTTATTTTGGAGGCCACAGACTTAGGGGTGTTGAGCCTGGAAATTGGTATCATATAGACCCAAATCCTTCCATTTACCAATGGTGTGATCTCATCTCTGAGCCCCTCTTCCCTTTTGGGAATAACAACCATAGCTAACTAACAGGTCAGGATTAGAGGATTGACTGCCTGTAAAGCATTAGGCACAGTACCTGTGTTACCGCACAAAACTGGGGTTCTCTTGCCTGATGCACATAAATTAAAAAACCAATTAATTACAGCAGCAGCTTTTGGGGGAGAAATCAGTTTTATTCTGTGAGATCGATCTGCAAGGAGACAGGGGGCATGTGCCTTCAGTCCTGTCTCCCTGATTCAGGATTTGGGGCAAAATGGAAGAGGTTAGAGAGGACAGGCTGGCATGAAGAAACGCTGGCAATATGGGTTTTGATTGGTGGGCTTCAGACATTTATGGTAAGATTTTAAACATTGATGACAGGGTTCTAAACATTTATTACGAGGTCCTCAACTTTTATGATGGAGTTCTAAGCTTTTTGATGAGATTGGGAAGGAAATTTAACACCGGCTCTTCCTGACCCTTCAATTCTGATAGGAGTCCAACTTTCAAGTTCCCATCGGGTCCCACTCCTTGAGTTCTGTGGAAAGGAGGATCTTCGGTTCCTCAGTCATTTCAGATTAGGATTTCCTCTTTTGCACACGCTCCAGCTACGTGACTTTTCGAATTTCCTGAAAGACAATCCTTAATCACTTTCTTGATAAGAGATGATGTCGGTTCAAACTGGCTCTAAATGGGCCCATGGCTACGCCTCCACCTAGTTCCAGAAAATAGCAAGTAGGAGCTGGTATCAATGATATGGATCTGCCCTGGGTATTCTGTGAGCACAGAGGAAGAGAGGTTCCAATCTCTGTATTCCACTCCTCGCTCTGCCACCAGTCATCTCCACTTAGAAGGTGAAGGGGAGGGGCCGACCTGGTGGCCTAGTGGCTACACTTGTGCACTCTACTTTGGTGGCCTGGGGTTCACAGGTTAGGATCCTGGGCACAGACGTATACACCGCTCATCAAGCCATGCTGTGGTGTTGTCCCACATACAAAATAGAGGAAGATTGGCACAGATGTTAGCTCAGGGACAATCTTCCTCGAGCAAAAAACAAAGAAAAAGAGGAAGATTGGCAACAGATGTTAGCTCAGGGCCAATCTTCTTCAACAAAAAAAAGACAGAAAGAAAGTGAAGGGGAACAGAACATGCCACCCCAAAGTGTGCCACTTTGGCACGTGGATTACTTTGAGCTGAAGGCAATCAAGATCCAGCAGATTCAGAAAAAGCTTTTTACCTCTCCCTTAACTGCCTAAAAGAATGTAGATAAGGTGCCTGGCCCAGAAAGAGAGCGATTATCAGAGACAACTTTTTTATCTGAAAGGCTTACCTGCATGGCAGGGCCAGCATCTGATGACCAAACCCCTGCTCTTCTACCTTCCTATGAATTGCCCTCCTCCCCTTGGAAGCTCCAGGCCCCTATCCCATTCCTTAGCTCAGGACGGCATATAAGCCTCAATTGCCTGACTGCCTGTGAGTCTCCTGTCTCGGTGGGCTCCCGTAAGTACATAATTAAAATTGTTTTTCTCTTGTTAATCTGTTTTATGTCAATTTAATTATCAGACCTGCCAAAGAACCTAGAAGGGAAAATTTTTCCGCCCCTACAAAATTTGGCACTCCCTTACGTGGAAAACAAGGGCAGCAGGTGGGCGGAAACAGGAAACATGGGTCATCAACGAAAACTGAGCTCCTGAGCGCTCCACACCTGTGAGCTCCCATCCCACCCACCCCCAAGGAAGCCATTCTCTCTCTCCCACCCCGCCCCCACCCCCAAGCTGAACTGGGCCCTCCTGGGCATCCACAGGACCTGCTCCAGCTTGAATCACTCTCTGGACAGGTCTTCAGTCCACTCTTCCTGAAGCTCCAAAGGTCATAACCCACTTGAACCACTGGAAAAACACTGTGCAGAAATCACAGAGTCCAGGAAAGAAAAAACAGGCAGCAAAATGGAATCACATGCAGGCAGTTGAACGGATGTTTATTTTGGTCCATGTCCATTTTTGGCAAAGTTTTAGAAAAGAATAAAATGTCTAGGAAAAGGTAAGCTGAAGGGAGCAGGGGAAAGGAGCTAGTAATGCCAAATTTGAGACTCTACATGAAACAGGATAAAATTTGATCCATTTATCATAGCATACAAAAGCATAAATTCCATAGAGAATGTAAAAAAAAAGAAGTCATATAAGTACCAGGGGAAAAACATGGATGACTTGCTCTATAACTTGGGAGTGAAGATGACTTTCATCATTATAGCTAAAAATCCAGCTGTGATCAAGGGGAAAGACCGATAAATTTGACTACCTAAAAATTGAAAAGTAAAAGTTTTTGTAAGGACAAACATGACCATAAGCAAAATAAAATGACAAACGTGTCCCAGACAAATGGCTGATATCCCTAATATATAAAGAGTCTTCTAAAGCAGAGGGAAAAGAGCCAACAACTCAATTTAAAAATTGCAAGAGACGTGAACAAACAGATAAAGAAATGTCAAAGTCTCCATATCATATAAAGAGATGGTCCCCTCTGCTTCTAATAAGAAAAATGCAAATCAAAACTAGACTAAGGTAGTACTTTTTAAACCTATCAGATTGGCGAAAATCCAAAAGTTTGTCAACACACTTTGTTGGCAAAGCTATGGGGAAATAGGCATTCTGGCACACTGTGGGTGGGAAAGCAGAATGAGGCAAACCCTATGGAGGAGAATGGTTGGCAACATCTAGCAAATTTACATATGCACTTCCTCTTTGACGCAGTGATACCACTTGTTGGAATCTATCCCAAGAAATCACTGACGAAAATATAGAAAAGTGTTCGCATATGGCTATTTATTGAAGCCCTGTTTGTAATAGCAAAAGACTAGAAACAATCTAAATGTCTAACAATAGGGGGCGGGTTGAATTAAATATGCCATACTATGGAGCATAAAAAAAGGCATAAAAAATATCTCTACATGCTGCCATGGAGTGATCACCAGCATAAAGCATTCTGTAGGAAAAGCAAGGTGGAACTGTGTGCAAATGTCTCAATTAAAAAATTTTAATTTTCAAAATGAAAACTGGGGAAAACTACATAGCATGCTACTATATAGCTAAGAACAAATAAATACATATGTATTTTTTAACAATGGAAGGATAAGCCAAAAACTTTCTAAAATGGCTCCCTCTGGGGGAAGGAGGAAATAGAGTAGAGGAGATAGCAATAGAAACTAGGTGGGGCTGGCCTGGTGGCGCAATGGTTAACTTCGCCCATTCTGCTTCGGTGGCTCAGGATTCACCGGCCTGGATCCCAGGTATGGACCTAAGCACTGCTTGTCAAGCCATGCTGTGGCAGCATGCCACATATAAAATAGAGAAAGACGGGCATGGATGTTAGCACGAAGCCAGTCTTCCTCAGCAAAAAAGTGAGGGTTGGTGGCAGATGTTAGCTCAGGGCTAATCTTCTTCTTCTTCAAAAAAAAAAGGGAAACTAGGGTTCCCTGGTACACTGTGTTTTGTAGATCTGACTTTGGAACTATGCAAATATTTTACATAATTGCAAACAAAATTAAAAAGAATTCCCTAAAAAGCAAAAGCAAAATAAAACAAAAGAATCTATTTGCACAGTGAATTAATGGTATAATCACAGAGAGAAGAACTATTCAAACAACTTTAACCCACAGCAATTTGACTGCTTTTCTAGAGAGATATTGGTTAATGATTAATCAATTAATGGTGATAATATTGAGAGATAAAGCAAACGTTGGTGTGTTTGAGAACTGAGATATTTAGTTGGGAGAAAGAACAGATATAAGATATATGAAGTTATGTAAAACAATGAGAGTCTCTATTTGAATCAAGAGTATTAGTATAAATATATCTTATAACCTATAAACATAATATAAATATATTTTTAACCTTAGATATGACATGGAGAGGACACATGATTTCAGAGGACAGAAGAAGAACTTAAGATAAATAAAAGGACCCAAGAAAATGCGAGACATGAGAAAATCAGGAAGTGTTGCTGGCACATGAAGGCAAGGGGGTTGAAACCACTGGGCAGATGATAATAATAATTTAATATTTATCGAGTTCTTACTATCTGCCAGGTGCTGGGCTAAGTCCTCTTCATACGTCATCCTATATAATACCCTCAACCACCTAATAGATGACGCCGTCAACCTCCTCTCAAGGGCAACTACACTCCCTCTTCTCAAGACAGGAACCAGCCTAAGGAGACAGGGCCATCTGAAAGGCCCCTGGCCTAACAAGACAAGGCCCCTAACCAATTGGCAAGCTAGGAAAATCAAATAGAGGCCACCGAGATCCACATTCCACAGCCTTGGGACTTTCCCGGGCTTACACATGCGCCCTAGCACCCAGGAGTCCACTGAAGGTGACCCCAGCCCTATTAGCATAGTAAAAATCACACCCGGGGCAGAGAGCTAGCATGCTAATGATCCATGCATCGCATGTAGTAGCATGTTATGTGACAGCACCAGCGCAAGCACAACCCCACCTCTACATGCCATGACAAGGCACCCCTGCCAGCCTTTGCCTAATAAAAGCCCCACAATCACACTCCCTGATGAGCTGGTCAGCTGCCCCTTTCTTTTCCCCACTGGCCCCCTTGTGCCTCTCCTGTGCACAAGCTAATAAACTTTCACTTTCCTACTCCCGTTTGTTGTCTCTTGAGTTCTACCCTGGGGACAATAAGAACCCAAAGTGCCAGTAACATTCTCAGGAACACGTCTCTTACCTATTTCCTTTTTCAAACACTTGGCAGTTATATGTAATAACTGAAGTTTTATACAATGTGTAGCAAAGATCCTGGAGGGCAGTCTCAGTCTAATGCAGAAGGTCTGAAGTCACCGGAGGGTTAAAGACCTCTATAACACAATCAACAATTCTTCTTCCACCTAATGTTTAAGCAGAGGCCTATCTAAGGAAATTTGTCATCTTTGCAAAATATATCCAGAAGATGCCAAGCTTCTGCAGTCAGGGCTTGGTGTTTGATGTGAATCATGACCAGCCATTGCTCCTTTCACAGGGCTGGCCAGCCACTATTTTGGATCCTTTTCCAGGAAGTCCAGCAAGTAACGCATGAACCACATCTCTGAACAAAGGCTGTTGGGCCTCTTCCAATTTTATACTAAATGAGTGAGACTGAAAGTTGGGTGCACTTACACGCAAGAAATCACAATGCAGTTGATTTTTCTATCATTTCCTGACACCAGTCATACCTTGAAGATTCAGTAACAACATAATGATAACGACAGAAAGGGGAGAGGAATTAACACAGGAGGCAAAGATGAATACTACGTTATGTGGGTTATGCCTGTCCCCAGAGAAGAAGCAATATTTGAATTCTGTTCCTATTAATTTAGCCAAAAAAACCCCACATAATTAACGATGGGGCTTAACTCTGTAGCTACAGCTAATCCTATCTAGAATTATTTCAGTGAACCAATGAAGCAACAATGGGCGCATGGCTTCCTTACTTGTGTCTCCTTGATACGGATGTTGAGTACAGTAAACATGTGGCATCTGGTTGCTTCAATTGTCCGTGGAGACCCCTGACATGTGGGAACACACAGTTTTGCCAGTCCAGCAAGACCAGCGCTGCCCAGCGGGGCCGAGCGGAGAGCCGACCACCCAGCTTCCGAAGCAGCTTTGTGTTTCTCAGTGGGTGGTCCAGCAGGCAGCAACCCACCGGAAAACACTTCTTTAAAAACTTTGTTTCTGTGTGAACATTGCCCAAAAAGAAAGCCAATCCCTAGCACCAGTAAAAGTAGTAATGAAAAGGTGAAGAGTTCTGAGAAAGTCATGGTTTTAGGAATTATAAATTGGGGTAAATTCAAGACAAGCATTTTGATCTCTATGGCAGCTCGGTTTTATTAATCCACGAGAAATGCAGATATTTGAAAAGAGAATTGAGAAGCCATTTCAGAATGTGTTTTCAGGCAGCTCAAACATTTCTCGCAGAGTAAGATACAAAACTTCAGTGAAAGTAAGAGCAGCGGTTAGCTGGCGGTAAGAGAACGTAAACAGGAAGCAGCAGCCTCTCGACATAAATATAATTGAGAAAGGCCCAGAAAATCTGGGTGAGTATTTATGGATCCTCTAATTTGGAGACACACAAAGATCTGTGATGGCTTTTGTAAAGGTCAAAAGGATCAGCTTTCCTTCTTGCAAGCACGGCCGGTGAGCAAACACACATCACTCTCCCTTTCATTTCAGCATCTCTCATGCTAAACACGACAAAAGGGTTCTGGAGGTTGGAAAATTCTGCACTCCCTGGAACAAGATCGTCTCGGGGGAGTGAGGTTGGTAAAAGCAGCTAGTGTGCCCAGCAGAGAAGCCCCTCCAACAGGGAGGGCTTCTGGTTCATCTTCCAAGGCCGCATCCTCTCTCGCATAGGCATCATCTGGCACCGCGTGTACACCCTCTCTCCCTCCTGATTCATTTATTGTTTGGCTCTTGGTTAACGATATCCAGATTTATGATGTTGACGGCTTTTCTTGTAACTATCAAATTCCTTTTGGCTAGAAGCCTGGTGTACCTGAATAATAACAGTAACTACCAAGTATTATGATTATTTAATTAATATTTACAGCATTATAGTATACTTTACAATATATATTACATATTATACTATATATATAATATCATACTATATATATTATGTTATGTATAATAGTTATACCATAGTAATAGTTATAGTATTCATGTTACAGTGCAACATTCCAACTTAATGGAATGTTAAAGACAATATATATGTCTTTTTCAAAGCAAATAATCCATAACCAATCTATAAATGAAAATTGGGGTGAGTTTATTCTGAGCCAAATGTGAGGACCGTATAGCCCTGGGGCCTTCCTTCCCCAAGGCTGGAAGGGCACCAAAGAAGTGGGGTGTACAAGTGGTTATATACCCTCAAAGAGCATGTTTCACATATAATTGAAATGTCCCAGGGGCTGGCCCCATGGCCAAGTGGTTAACTTCGCACGCTCCCTTCGGCAGCCCAGGGTTTCACCGGTTCGGATCCTGGGCGGAGACATGGCACCACTCATCAGGCCACGCTGAGGTGGCATCCCACATAGCACAACCAGAGGCACTCACAGCTAGAATATACAACTATGTACTGGGGGGCTTTGGAGAGAAGAAGAAGAAGAAAAAAAAAAGAAGATTGGCAACGGCTGCTGGCTCAGGCGCCAACCTTTGAAAAAAAAAGAAATGTCCCTTGTACAATAGTCATGAGATTGTTCTGTCTGCACAGCGATTGATGGACACAGCAAGTAGGAGGTCAGCTGTCTCGGTGGACACAGCAGGTAGCAGGTCTGTTGTCTCTGAGCTGGGTGGTCACAGGTGAGCGCAGGAATCAATTCCTAGCCTAGTTTTCCTAGAAAAGATGCTTATCCTTAAGGAAATGCTAATGCAGTGGAAGTTGCACCTTTATCTTAAGGCCATTTGTTCTCGTCTTTGGGACACAGCAAATGCTTAAAGCAGATATACAATGCACGCTCAACAGCCATGTCAGGCCCTTTTGGAAAAGCAGAGTCAGGTCAAATTAGGTTTACACCAAATGGCTTCCTCGTATACTCCAATATATCTTATTGCTGCCGTCTATTTGTCATCTTTTATCCTCACCACGCTGGGAGTTGGATAGAACTTAACAAAAAAAGGCCTGGGAAAAGTGGGCAACTCACTCAATTCTCATAGCTAGTGAGCGCTAAATTCATGCTTCAAACCAAATAGGAAGGAGTCTCTGTCAGGACTTGTTCCATCAGTAAGCTGCCTCTAATGGTGTACGTCTCATTAACAGTACTCTGTTACCTATCATTCATTAGACAGAGCATCAGCAGTTTTACAAAAGCTATTTACCAAGCTGAGCTAAAGGAGGGTTAACTGTACCACACCCACCCACCCACGCGTGTGCACACACACACACACACGCACACACAATCCCTTTATTCAGCTAGAGTCCTTCATGCTTTCAACCAAACACATCCATGCCTACTCCATGCCAGACACTGGTACACAAGTCAGGCATGGTCCCCGCCCTCTTAGAATTTCCACTTTCACTCCTGCTAATTCGCAGGTGTGATATCTTCTTCAAAAGGCATTCCTTGTCATCCCAGACTGAATTAGGTACCTCGCAATACACCCTGCACTTTTCCTTTCTAACACCCATCACTCTTTAGTTACTTGTTCAGTGTCCTTCGTCCCATTATCTTGTGATCTCCATGGGGACAAGATGGCTGTCCTGTTCTCTGCTAATTTCAGTGTCCTGCGTAGCACCTGGCACCTTAGAGAGACTTAGCAAATATTTGTTGAACAAATGGATGTGAACAAGCAGTGGGAGCAGGCTCTCTCACAGGGTACAGAAGGCGGTACCAGCCAATAATTAGCTGATTATCAGATTCTGTGCCACAGGGTGCTAACCTCTGCTTGACAGAAACCGGCAGCCTCTGAGTTCAAGCCTCCCTCCCATTGCACACACCTTTTGGTGTCTGCCTCACCGGTGAGGTCTGCTCAGGCCCGCCTAGCCTGGGAGCTGTACCAGTGAGTGGAAGCCTGCCCTGCAAAAAGTGCTAATTAATACTAAATGTCACTACCATCTCATAGCTCTTGCCCTGTGTACACCTATCGGAGCCAGGTGTCCCTTTGATCACAATCTCTAGCCCTGGGTTGAACCGCAAGAGAGTCAACATCACCTGAGACAAATGACAACACCCCCACTCCACCCCTCATTCTATGCGGTTGACCTGGAGATGGTGGCTTTCCTGTTGTGCCCTCTAGAAGAATGTCACACACCTACAGTAAGTGTGGTCTCCAAAAGAGATGGAAGATGGACATTCTGGCATCAGGCAGGCATAGGTGTGCTGGTTGCTCAGGCAGGGACCTGGAACTCAGAAAGGAAGCCTGGAGAAGGGCGGGCGGGGGGGGGGGGGAGGGGGGGCAATATTGCCATGTATCTCTAATCTTCTCCCCTCAGACTCAGCGAGTTTCTGTAAGATGGAGGCAGCAAGCCAGGAGCAAGGGAGGCATAACCCCTGCAATTGCCTGTGGGCTGAAGATCAATCAGCTTTGTCTTGTGAATCAGATTATCTGGTTACCTGCTGCTGGATTCTTTGTTTTCCCTTTTCTTAGCTCTAGGCCTTTAGGGAAGTCTTATTTAATTGTTCCAAGTCACTGCAGTGCTGATGACTTCAGCTGTGCTTGTTCCTGAGCATAAAGGGACAGAGAAATCTCAGGGACATGGCAGGGCTGGGAAGTCCCTTCCTTTTCTCATGAAGATGCTCCCTCCCACAAAGGATATACGTCTTATTTTATAATGGGAGGTGGCTGGTTCTTTACAGCATCTAAACTGGCTGAGGAAGGCCCCTGACTCCAGACCTCAGATGGAGATGACCCAAAGCCCCCAGGGGTGGGCTCTGGAGAGCTAGTCCCCAGAGCTTAGAGTTGTTCTGCTAGTCACAGACCCCTATAGCCCTGGGTAATCTAGGGGCCCTGCCAGAGGAAGGTCACCACCTGGCAAGCAAAAGGACCCCAACTGCCGACTCAGGATCAGGAATATGGTCTACAAACTGCCTCCCACCCCAAGACCTCAAGGCTCAAAGCTACCCTTTCTTCCATAGAAGAGTTCCTCCCTCTTCTGTGTGGTGCAGTGCCCCCGACCCCCAATCCAGGGCACTTTTCTAGTCTCCACATGATTTGGATCTCTTCTTCCATTGCTCTGAAAGAAAAGGACTCTAATGACAAGCCATAATCCCTCTCCCAAAAATCCCCGTGATTAAAATGTTGGCGCTTTGTTCATGTGTGAATAGCTAATGTTCCACAGCCTCTTTCCTCTCTCCCACGTGCACTCACTTCCTCATTTTCCACCAGATATGTCTATCCTTCCTCAATCTGTAGTTGAAAGCTTGTGACCACTGCAGGCAGACGCTGTCATCCTCGGCTCTCATTCTGGGCCTCAAAGTTAATGCTCTGTTAGGGGCATTTAAAACCTCAGCAAGAGTTCATTTGCAGCGGTATGCTGGTAAACCCGCGTCGGGGGCTAGGGTGGCAGGTTGTGGGGCTGGTGGGTCACAATCCCTGATTTGTTGAGGTTACCAATTTCCATGGTACAAATACTCCCTCCTACCATGACCAATTTCCAATTGTCAATGGTTTAACAACCAGCTTGTAAAATTGCTGAATATTTGACAATTACTCTCACCA